GGGGGGGGGGGGGGGGGAGGAGACGGAGGAGGAGACGGGTGGATGGGACGTGATGGATGAGATGGGACAGACGACGATAATAGGGGAGGACAGCGAGAGAAGAGTTATGGATCAATCAGGTATGTATGCGCATCCTAGTGGAATATGGAATACGGAGAGTATGGAGTACGAGGGGGGGGGGAGGTGTCACACTACTCGGATACTTGCGTAACCCGCGTTTTCGCCAAGGTGCCAATCGCTGTTTGGTGCATGCAATTTCTCTATACGCCGCTACTCTTCTTGGGTTTTGCTTGGGTCTTGGGGGTGAGACGAGGCGAAGCACGCTTCGCTGTGGGGACCCCCAGGCGAGACGGACTGCTTTTTGAGCAGGAAAACGAAATGAGGGAGCGAGAGAGACGCATGTGTGTTTGGTGTTGTTGTTGCCGTCGTCGTCGTCGTCGTCGTCGTCGTCGTCGTCTCATGTGTCTTGTCACTTCACTAAAAAACATGGGTGAGATGAGATGACATGCAATGACATGAGATGAAGAGCGCGTCAGTGAGTCACCTTGGCTTGAGAGAACCTCCCGACCAACACACTCAATTGAACCGGGCCACTCGTTCGTCCCACCCTTCGCTCTCGTCTGTTCACGAGCCAGTAAAGCAGCATTACACTAATCAAGGTTTGCATGTGTGCATGCATACCTACGTAGTACACCTACTCCGTATGTCCACTCACTAATCAATCATTCGTGTGCCTGGCATGGCATGGCATCGTTCCCCCTGTCTCCTTGCACGGCTGAGAACCCTGCCCGGTAGCTACCTAGCACCCTAGGTACCTAACCTAGCTGGATGGTCGGTACCTTACCTTAACTTCGTCGTCGAACCCAATCCAATTCCCTCCTCCCCTCTCTGAACAGCTAGGCAGCGTAGGTAGCTTACTGAGCTCTCCCGTCTCTCTTCTTTCTCTCTTACTCGCTCTTCTCTTAGCGGCTCACCTTGCACTGCCCCAACTTCGCGCCCATCGGCGCCCGTCCTACTGGGTAAAGGCATCCCGATCTGCCCTTCACGTCCCCCCATCGGCCAAAACCGCCGAGACCCTTGAAACGAGACAAGGCACCTGGGCGCTACCGGTCCGCAACGGGGCCAAGGAGACCCAATGAGCGTCCGCCGTAATTCCGCAGATCGACGAATCCGTTCTAGCTTGGCAGCCCCGGCCGCCCTGGCTGACCACCCAAAAGGTGACAGCCGAGTCGTAGATACACGGCAATACCACTGGATATATGTACGGGTAGGGAGTACCATGTCCAGGTATGGGGGATCCGTACCCAGTGAAATTCTTCTACCGCCTTGAGCGAGCTGGTGGAACCTCTCTCGCACCCCCCTTGTCCTCTGGGCTGACTCTTTGCTGCCAATACATTGGCTTTCGGGTTATGCAAGCTTCAGGTCAATTAGCCTTCTAAACCACACACACTCTCTCTCTCTTTCTCCCCTTCTCTGTGCCCTCCTCTCGTCTCTTCTCATCTTTAGACCATCAAGAGGATAACATTTCCATCAAATGGAATGAGAAGGGGGGGGGGGGGGGGGGAAGTAAAAAATAGGTAACCTAGCTTCATTCATCGACTTATCCCATCCGCCCGTCCTCAAATCTCGGTAAGCGAGCGGCAGTGCAGCGGAACTAGCAGATCCCAGAGAAGCTAAGAGCTTCTTGACTTGTCTACCTACTGTTATCCGTAGTCCGACACAAATCCATAACGCCACGCGCTGGCGGGAGGTGGAAACCCCTGATTTTGGCGCCCTTTTGTGCCGCTACCGCCGCCGAGCTGCCCTGTCCGGCTCGTCTGACAGTCGACGATCAGGGCTGCACTGGAATCCTCTTGGCGCTTTTCTTTCTGCCGTTGCTGGTTTGTGTGGCGGCTAGCATTCCAGTGTCACAGACACCCACAGACAATGGCCGCCCTCTGCAAGGCCCCGATGACGTTGCAGGCGCCGTACGGTTCCGAGACATGACTACTACGTCTTGGTTCCTTCATCCAACAAATTTGTCACAACTGGGCAAAGAACGTGCGTGGTTATGCGAGGGCGGGTGGCGGCCAGAGAGGGATACCTAGTGAGGGAGAGAAAAAGCACTTGGGCTATGTATGCATCGACGTTGTCCTCGTTTAGCCAACGGTGCTTCCGAGACCGTGGTCTGTGATTGAAATATGCACCTTCTGCTGTGACATTGCATTCGCTGCCATGCAACTGCTCCGAAAGCTTCTCCGGGGAAGCTGAGGGGCCTCGCGCCAAGCAAGAGACGAACGAGGCCTCGTTCCCCGTCTTGAATTTGCTGCACAGCCTCAACCAAGAGCTCGCCGGTCCCCTAGGAGGGGGGCCAAGTGGTTGGCGCCGTCCAAAGTCACAAAGTCAAGAGACTTGGTTAGTAGTTCAATTAAATACCTGAGCCTGCCAGTCCTCCCTCTGTAGCTATGCCGCGCCAAACTAATGTAAAAATTGCTCCTCGGTTAGAGCCTCTGGTGAAGGACGCATTGGCGTTTCTCGCTTGGCGAAACAATCTTAACAGCTTGCTTGCTTGCTTGCTTGCTTGCTTGCCTGCTTGGGAGTGGGCACAACAGGCATCTAAAGATATCCCATGAGCCATCAGTTTCTCAAGTGCCGAGCCTGCCAGCATGCTGCGCACGCCGGCCGGCCACCAGGCGGCGGTCCGGTGACTAGACTGGGGGTGTCCCACCGGGAAGAGCCCTTTCCGGGGGCCGACATCGCCGCTACGTGTTTGGCCCGTCGTCATCTGCCGACCCGCGCCCAAGGTGGGGGTCACGGTTTAGAGAGAGATAGGGAATAGGGCGAAGGATGCAATGGAAGTTCGTCCTCAATCCGGTGCAATTGCGGCGGAGACGTCTTCCGTCGAAACGGGAGACGGCAACAGTGAGCTCGTTGCTAGGATTCGCCAGAGTCCCGAGCCTTCGCTCAGAGACGTGCGCTCAAGAATCCTTTTGCCTTGCCACATGTGCATCTTCCTCGCGCCGCCGCCACCCGTAGCCACACTCTGCCCACCATGCTGCCACGTTCGCGGCTTCCACAGCATGGGTCTCGCCCCTCAATGCTGGCGTTGCTCCAAGACGCGCCGCCGCTGCGACTCCCTCCCATCTGCCATTCAAAGGACCGCTTATGGGCAGACGTTGAACCCTCAGAATGCGATACCAGGTGACCGGCGGCGTGTCGGAACCCACTGGTGTTGACCGACAAGAGCACCGTCCGGATCCGAAACCCGGAAGGTGCAAGACAAACGTCCTGCTACCGGCCCCTCCATATCTCTACCGCCGTATGCCGATTGCAGGAACAGTCGACTCTGCGACGGAATGTCGCAATGGGCGTTGGCGCCAAAGAGTGGCTGTAGGTATCATACCATCTGTTTGGAATCACATGGTCTTAGGTTTTTGGTAGGCAAGCCACGTTGCGCCGGATCCGGTGCCGTGCTCGACGTAACGCAGTCCGTACCAGGTCAGGTGTCGGGTTTCCCGACAGTCAGCCGGCAACGGTGTTGGGCTGTGGTCACTCGGACGCTCTCGAGCCGGATTAGTTCCCGTCATGACACCGGACTGTAGGCATTGGCGACGGATAGCGGTAGGTTTCAAAAGTCTCTACTCGGCATCGTAAGCTTCTTCTACATTGAACGCCTTGGGTGAAGAGCTACGCAGGTGCCAGCCTGTCTAGTCGCCAGACTCTCTTGGTCCCGGGACCCTTTTTTTGCATGTGGCATCATGGTGATCCCAGGTATCGTGATATGTCTTCCCGTCTCAGCGTGTCTATGCCTGTTCGACATGGCCAGACATCGCTCCATTAAGCTGCGTGACCAGATTGACATTCATTCTGGCCCAGAGTGCGTACTAACATCCGAGGATAATACTTCAATCTGCGTAACTCACGGCTTTCCCCCGATCGGTTTGGCCAACTTTTCGATCCGACTCGATACGATCCCGGTGGGCGACCTCTATTTGGCCGGCGGAAGAGAAGTCTCCTGCGGAAGGGCCATATATCGTTCTAGGCTTTATTGACAGTTGTTCCCCGGGGATGTGAAGCCGATGGTCCCCGGAAACCAATTTTCGCTTTTGAGACTACAAAACCGACATCATGGCGTTTCCTCCTCGCCCTCTTCTGCGCAAATTCGCAATCCTCGGCGGTCTAGCTCAGCGGCAGCATTATGGTACCACCGAATCGCAAATGCCCCGTCTCAAATAAGGCAGGCCTATTGCGCCAATATGTCATTTGGCCAGTGGTCGTTGCCGGTGCCTGGTCCGCCCCGATTCATCACGACGAAGTAGATGCCACGGAGTTCCTGTGCTCGGGGATTCTAGCAATCAGCTAGGAACCTAGCATAGTGGACATCGGAGACGATGCTCGTCTAGTCCAACAACTGCAGTCTTGCGAACAAGAAGCATGGTCCCGGGTTTTCTGCGATGGACAGCTCGTTCGAGGGAACACCCTTGGTTTTCTTGTAAAGAACAAGATACCACCATGGACGGATTCATGCATAATACATCCCATATCAGACCGAGAACCCAGAACTGCCACCCCGCAAAAAAGCGTTGCTCGCGGTGCAACACCGGGTCAAACAGCCAAGCGTCGCCAACATTATCCATGACCAACCGTCTGAAAGTGTTTCATGCTTTCTGCGTAGCATCCGCCCGAGCCGCGGGCGATCATTGCTGATACAACGTTGTCGGAACCTGAGACACGGAAAACGGCAATCGGTGTTTGCAATGCTGTCAGATTCCTGCGTTCGACACACACATGCTGAATGATTGGCTGATGGTTAGCTTGTCCACTTTGGACACAATGATTCAAGTTTGGAAATGGGAAGAAATGGTAATCATGTAATTGATTGGATATGTAGAACAGAAAGGATTCGTGAGCAGCGCCGAAATGCCGTAGGGTATACCGAGCACCAGTCCAAATTACAAGTCAATGTATTGTATCCGGACAAAAAAATCCAGTGCCGGTGTGATCCTATCGCACGCGACCCTTGGAAAAAATATAGACGATAACGAATGCAGAGGTGCAAATGCAGCATCGACTAATTGCAACCTCCCAGCAGCACAAAGTATCAAGAATAAGCCCCCAATGCAAATGCAAGTGCGGCGCTAAAGGGGATGGGGGAAGATGGTCGTAAACAGCAATATGCCAATTGCTTGTGAGCGAAATTTCGTCGTCGCACCTCGAAGGCTCGTCCCGAGGGTATTCGTGTCGCCGTCATGAGATCGCTGCCCTAACACACATATCGTCCGTCCTTTTTGGGTTGTTTTGTCATCGTTGTCGTTGTCGTTGTTGTCGCTATTGGCTTCTGCGAGTCGCCTCAAGAAGCGAGAGGCAAACTCTCTTACCGCCGGATCTCATCGACGCTGACATGGCTTGTCCTCCAATCTTGTGTAGGGCTCTGCTTGCTGGAAGACCCGAAACCGGGCATCGAGGAGAAGCGGCTCAGCCGCTTCTTGCTGCGCTCGGTCTGTGAAGGGATCACTTCTGTGGGGGAGGCAGGCTCGGCATGATGGAGGGCATCGACGCGCGGTGACGTTGGCTCCTTGCTGTTGGCAGTACCGGTGGAGGAGGAACCGGTCGAAGTAGGGGTCTGGTAGACATACTCGCCGTCAACGTAGACAGCGTTGGAAACGAAGGTTGAGCGGCGATGGCGGCGACGGGTGTATCGCTGCTCGAGGCGGAAGAGCTCAATCTTCTGCTGGATACGTTCCAAGATACCGGGAGCCATTCTGAAGTCCTTTGTATGCAGAGACTGCAGGATTCTATGTTGAGTTGATTTCGGGGTTGCCCGTTTGGGTCTTGCGAGGCGTTGGTGTAGAGGTGGCTGACGGCAAGACGAGAGAAAGTCAATTCACTCGTAGGGACGACAGCTGTTGTAGAGGAAGGAAGTCTGTGGTCGTGTGGCAGACGTGTGAAGTAGGGACGAAAACGATCGGACGAAAAGCTTATTGGGTCTGGAACAAGTATCGCAGTGCTATGGCCTCAGATGTCTCTTGGGCGACTCGAATGTGATGCGAACGTTCCCCTTTTCTTTTCTGACCTTGACAGATGAATCTTGTGCTAGGTAGAGTCGATTGGGCCGGCGAGGTTCCAAATATAGGAGCTACGGTCGGGTGTGACTTTCCGTATTATTCTTGTTGTAATTTGGTACGGGCACGCTAAGAGCAGCTTGTCGTATGTGCTGTGAGTCGGTGCGGGAGCGAAGGAGTGAGAGGAAGTCAAAACGCCAGGCTTCGAGGACCTCGTGGTGGTTTATGTTGATTATAACGAGTGGACTGGAGGAGCTTATCGGAACGAGGGAGTGTGTGTGTGTGTGTGTGTGTGTGTGTGCAGGTGTATGAAAGAGGGAGGGAGGGAGATAAAAGAGGTTGGTTGGGATAGAAAAGGACTTGACTGGTCGAACCGATGGCCTGTCCCTTGAAGATTTGACGAGGGGTGGGTAAGCCAAGGGGTGTGTGTGGGTGGAAAAGAACGAGTGATGGGGAGACAAGGTCAGGGGGGTATGCAAGAAAGTTTCGGGTCTAGAAGACGAGAAGGGAAAGAAAAGGAGGAGAGCAAGAGCCAGCCAGGATTCGACAATACAAGTAAGTGCAAGTGCAAGTACGGAGTAGGTACAGAAGGAGCGGAGCAGAAGGCGCAGAGTACGGAGTAGATGCAGGAGCTGCAGGTGGACGCGAGTTACCTAATTGCAGGAACTTGATGCATGGATAGGCTAGGCCAGGGTGGAGGTGGATTCTGTGGGCAGGCGGCCTTGGGCCGTGGGTTTGGAGCAGAAGAGACGGGGAAGATAAGGATAGGTAGTAAGGTAGGTAGGTAAGTTAGGGAGGCAGGTTGGCACCTGGATAGGATGATGGCGTTCAGGGAGGCAAAAAACAAAAACAAAAACAAAAAAACGGATTTCGCACCACAATCACAATCACCAGCAACACCAAAGTACACTATCATGTTTTTTGTCACTCGAGTGAGTGGATGGGAAAGCGAAGGCGTGTTGCGTTGCGTTGGAATGACCCTTGCGCCTGCCCGGCCAAGCAAGCATGGGTTATGCATGGAAATGTCACCTTCGCGCAGGTGCCACTGGCGCTGCTTTCCCAATCCAGCCCAATCTAATCCAATATGGTCAATCCCAATCCACCTCTTCGATAGCTACACAAGAAGGAAGGCGCGGTCCCCCGATAGACCGGTTGATGTCTCGCTGCTTCCCTGTCGGCCCCTTCCAGTTTCTGAGTATCCTTCCCCCCTCTGGCCAAGTTCTCGACCGATGGGATCCACTCTTCAGTTGGGACCCCGACAGGCCCCACAACTACTCACGCAATTTCAGCCAACGAAATGGAGCCAGTGCCAGGCCTTCCCTGCCTCGCCATGTGCTCTCTTCTCTTGCCCTTTCCCTTTCTCTTCCTACCCGGAAGTTGCTTCTCGTTCTTACTCAGTATTCTTCCCCTGTGAGCGGGGACGGCTTCTCCTCCGCTTGTTTCCTGCTATGTCGCTCAGAGGAGGAAACCGGCGTTGTTTCCCATGCTACTCCGTACTTGCAGTTGCATTTCCAACTTTTGCCTGCGCCTTTGATTTTTCACAGGTTGCAGCTGACCTGACGTACCCCCCCCCTGCCTCACCTGACCTAGGCCTACTTCAGACACTTACCTAAAGTTTTGCTATTAATAGAGGGTAGGTTAGGTTAGCTTATAAGTGTAGGCCTAGGCCTATATTTTGTAATAGGTAAGGTACTTTACTATAATCTTTAACTACTATTTACTAAAATAAACTTTACTTTCTATTTATATAATAATATCTAATACTACTAGCTAGTCTATTCCTAAACTAATCTAAGATTAATCTAAAGCTAATCTAGGTTTATTTTAAGAAAGCTTTAAGAGTATACTACTATATTAACTAATAATATTACCTTATACTTAAACTAACTTATCCTTAGTGTTAAAATAGCTATTTAATAGGACTATATATACTAATATACTAATTATAACCTAGGTATACCTTAATCCTCTATAGCTTATAACCTCTAGAGTCTTATACTAGTTAGATAGCTAGCTACTATTACTAAAAAGTATTAAATACCTCTTAATATTAAGAGCTAATAGATTATTATTTCCTTTAGCTAGGTATATAGACCTTTAAGGTAAAGCTATTAAAGTATTAAAAGCTAAATAGGGTATAATATAAGTAGCCTATAGTTAAGGTAATTTATATTTAACCTTACTTATAGTAAATAAAATCTATTAGACCTTTAATATCCTAAAGTACTCTTAATCTTTTACCTAGAGATACCTTTATATAATTTCTACTTATAGCCTTACTAAAGATAAGATTAAATACTTATAAAATAAGGTATATATATTAATTAACCTATATATAATTATTAAACTTATAATACTATTATAGGTTTAATTTATAAGTGTTATAAAATAGAAGTCTTTAAATATATAGTGTGTATTCCTTAAGGTCTTAAATTACTATAGGGAGGTATAAGTATATATAGGATATAAGGTATATAAGTACCTTAGTAATACTTTCTCTTAGCTATATAGTATTATCCTTAATAATATATAGGACTAAATAGCTAAACTTTAAGATAAAATACTTATATATTCCCTATAAAATAAAGCTATTATCTAGGCTTATTTAGTTTATAAAAGGTTTATATTAAATTTAATAACTATATATAAAAAGCGTAATAATACTTATAAGGTATAGTAAGTTATAGCTCCTTTAGAGATATATTCTTTATTTTCTTATTTATTATATAAGCTAATTTAAGTAAGGCTTTTAATTTTAGATTTAGTACTAAGTTAAATACTATAACTAGTAGTTAATAATTCTATAAAATAATAGTTATACTATTATACTTATTCTTTTTAAATATAGTAGTTATATAACTATTATCTAGTAAATTATTTAGGATCTAATATTTACTTATAAAAAAGACTTAAAAGGCTATTAGGTATAAGACTATAACTACTATAAAAAGGTAAAGTATAGTAAGAGATTCTTATTTATTATTAATTAATTCTTAGTTAAACTAAGATTACTTTAGGAGTTAACTATTAGTAAGGCTAAAGGTAAATAAGGATAATAAAATATAGCGTTAAGTTCTATTACTTTATACTTAAAAATATAAATAAATACCTATAGATACTTCTTATATCTAAAAGGCTTTATTTACACTTACTTTTACTACTTAAGAAAATACTATTTAAGATCTTAGATATATTATAAAAAGTAATTTAATAAGTAAATAATCCTACTTAGACTCTTAGTTTATTCTTAAAATACTCTTTTATATAGTATATATACTAATATTTATAGATAAGTTCTTAAGTAGCCTATATTACTAAGCCCTTTACTAATAATATAATGCCTAAAGCCTTCTTAAAATCTACCCTAGCTTATTAAATAGAGATTAAATTACTATACTTATTTATAGATAGAACCTTTTATACTTCCCTTAGGGCTTATCTGTTCTTAGCCTTTAATATAAATAGGATAAGGTACTTTAGTCTTCTAAAGATAAGTAGGTAATTAATCCTAAAGTAATTACTAATAATACCTAGTACTAATTATAGATAATAATAGTATCTCTAGTATTTTTACTAATTACCCTTTATATAGATAGTAATTAGCTTCTAGGTAGGGTAAGCTAAAATCTAAAAAGATATTATAACCTTCTAGATTAATATAAACTATAAACACCTTTTTAGGTAAACTAAAAAGGAGATTATTATTAGTTATTATTTCTCTTATCTTAAGTAAAGTAAGTATAATTATAAAAGAATCTAAAAGTATATATTAATATAGTAATAGATATTATACTTACCTATAGGCTTATAAACTTAGAGACCTTTAAAACATACTATCTTTTTTTAAGTATTTTTTTAAAACCCTCTAGGTTTAATTTAAGATTATATACTCTTAGCTACACCTTAGCTAATACTAAATTATAACACTAGTAGCTAACATAAAGATAAGTAGTATTACTATTAATATAGATATAAAGCTCTTAGTAGGTAAGATTAATCTATACTTAATTATAGCTTATTTACTAACTAATTTAGGCTTTAATATATATTTATAATATAATCTTAATATTTTTTATTAAGGTAAGTAGGTAAATATTACCTTTATAATTTAGTATTATAAAGTCTACTTCTAGTGTAGCGTAAAGTAAATTACTAGTAATATATTAAGTTAGGCGCTAGGCTCTTTTTACTTAATAATAATATTACTTTTTACCTATATAAGCACTAAAGAGTAGATATATATTATTTAATGTTTAAGCTATAAGTATTTCTTAATCTTTTTATAAGTAAGTACTAATTAATTATTAGTAAATCTAAATCTATAGGTATATAACTAGGCCTAGTATAAGGATGTAGTCTATATATATATAGGACTTAATTTAGTCTAGTTCTAAGACTTAAAAAGTATATAGGATTTATTAACATCCTATATAAACTTTATTAAGGGCCTACACTTTTTATCTTACTCCTTTAGTAGATAGAGGAAGCTAGTAATAGTTATTTAGTAAATATAAGTATACCCCTTATTCTAGGCTACTTTATATTAACCTTATATCCTCTAGGTTAAAGGTATAAGACCTTTATACCTATCTTAAAGGTAAGGTATTTAAGGCAAAAGGTATATTATATACTTATTAAAAGATATCTTAATATACTAAAGAAGGTAACTAGATAGTTATTTTAGGTATAATTAGTGTTT